GGGGGAGGGGAGGGGGGGGGAGCGAGGGAGGACATACCGGCTGCGTGGGTGCCTGCAAGAAGGACCATAAAGGCCATGGCCACAAGGAGCGCTCGTTGGCCCATTGCGCGTGAATTGGACGAAAAGTCGAGTATGGCGTGTTCCTGTTTGGAGTGGCCGGCCAAGGCCAAGAGCGGTCGAATCAGCATTGTCGGCGATGACGACCAGAACGACCCCCCCCCTCCCCCCCCACCCCCCAATGCCATCCAGGTTGGATAGCATGGTTTCTTGGTCAATCATGTGTTTGCCATCACGTTAATCGATGGAGACTGTACGAGATTGGCGTACAACTCGCCACGGCCATGCCGGAACAGGTCGCACACACAGCACGTTGGATGTCATGTGGTGGGGAATGAGATGGGCGGGATGTGATGGCACTGCGATGGTCTTGACGAGAGTGTGCGGTGGGACGGGGACGACGACAGGAGCAAGAGCGGGTGTTGGCTCCGAGCACGAGGTACGCAACTGGGCTCACACACCACACGCCTCGGACACCCCCCCCCAAGCTATTAGCAGCACGACCCGTCTCGGGAAGAAGATGTCGCGGCGACTGGGTGGGCACGGAGCAGCGGCGCGACTTGCGCGGCAAGTGCGGCGGGCGGGAGGGCGGTCCGGGTGGGAGGACGGTGGCGGGTTGGGAAGCGGTAACGACGACATGCTGGCCGACGAGATGGAGAGCGCGGTGAAGGAGATGGCGCAGGAGCGGCGGGTGACGCAGTCGTTGGAGCAAGTCTTTGCCCGCAAGGTGCGGACAGATGACGAGCTGCAAGCCATCTACGACCTGGCCAAGCCGCTGCAGGGCTTTGACAAGTACGCCGAGTACACCAAGCGTGAGCTGTGCAAGGTCATGCACTACGAGCGGTACGACGGCGTGGCCAAGCGAGTGGTCTTCTACGAGGGCGACCCGCCCGACGGCTGGTATTTAGTGCTCTCGGGCAAGCTCGATGGCAAGAAGCTGCCGCCGGATTCGGACATTGACGAGCTCAAGGCCATGTCGGCCGACATCGAGTCGCTCTCCACCGCCGTCTTTACTCTTGGTCGCGGCAAGGCCTTTGGCGAGGGCGCCCTGCAGCGGTCGTCGGGCTCGGCCACGCCGGGCCTCCGTGCCGCCACCATTGTGGCCAACGAGCCGGTCGAGCTGCTCAAGGTCGGCCTGGAGGACTACATCAAGCTGCTGCAGATCGAGGAGGACAAGAACATCGAGGCCACGGTGGCGTTTCTCAAGCGCATGCCGCTGTTTGCAGACCCCGAGTGGACGCACGGCAAGCTGCGCAACGTGGCCCAGACCTTCACCGTGGCGCAGTACATGCCGAACAAGCTCATCTACCAGCAGAGTGTGACCCACGGCGACGCGTTCTACATTGTCAAGTCGGGCACCTGCCGTATCGTCAAGGAGCTGGACATCCCGTACACCGACGCAGGTGGGCGGACCCGGATCAAAAAGGTCTTCCTCCACATCAACACGCTCGAGGAGGGCGCGCACTTTGGCGAGTATGCCATCATCGAGGGCTGCCGCCGCTCGTCCTCGGTATGCTCCGTCTCCAACGTCCTGCTCTACGTCATGCCCTCGGCCGAGTTCAAAAAGTACATTGTCGACAAGACTCGCCAGAAGCTTCTCGATCGCATCAAGACCTATCCGTCCGAAGCTGACATCATCAAGTCATACAAGCAGCAGCAAGAGTGGAACCGCTACAAGCGCAAGCTCGTCACTTCCACTCTCTCGTACGGCGCCCGCGCCACAACCTCGTTTGCCTCCACATTTCGCTCGACAACCTCGGCTCCATCGTCAGTTCTCACTCAGTCGCTCGCCGACGCCAAGCGCTCGTCGTACGGCGCGCCGCTGCCGGCAACAGCATCGCTCTCGCGACAACGGCCGCGGCGAGCGCTCGACAGCGACCGGTCCAGTCGGCCCGGCCGCCGCCGCCGGGTAGGCGCGGGTACCGCATCCGTGGCCGCGGGAAGCGCAGGTGCCAGCGACGACGACCCGCCAGCAACTGACCGCCCAGCAACCGGGCGCACTCGCTCGCGCTGGCTGCCCGGCGCCCGGTCGATCGACGCCAAGCTCCTCCGCGAGCAGGGCGTCCGCGGCGGCGGCTCGCTGAGAGCCGGCACCGTCAAGCCGTCGCTCGTGCCGGCCGGCCGGTCATCGGTCTCGCTCGCGCCGGCGCTGGCGTACCAGCCGAGCTCGGCTACGTGGAGCAGTGCCGGCGTCCGGTCGTCGCGGCGTGCAGCCGCGGCGTCGTGGGCAGAGTAACATGTGAGCACCAGTCTGACCTACGGTGGCGTCAGGGCTGCCATCCACTCGTCGTGCATAGTGGTCGACGAGCAGCGGAGGAAGACGTGCGGGCTGCCGTCGCTCGTCACCACGTTGATGAGCGTTTTTTCCGGCGAGACAATCGAGAGCGTGCCACTCCCGCCGGCCATGTCCAGCACGTACAGGACGGCGCCGACGGCCGGTGCGTCGACTGCAGGCTCGGCGTCGAGCACCACCAGGACGCCGAGGCGGGCAACACCCCATCCGCGGGTCCAGCGCGCGGCGTCAGGCTTGCGGAACTCGAGAACGCCGGCGTAGCCGCCATCGGCCGCCATGGCGCGGAGGTCGTCGACCGCGGCGCGGAACGGGAGCGTGACAGGCGCAGAGGCCCAGAGCGCGCCGCGCGAGCCCGGCGGCTGCGGCTGCGGGTTGTCATCGATGCCACCGTTGGGCGCAAAGACCAGCGGCGGCGGCGGCTGGATGGCAATGAGCGCATCGGACTGAGCAGCAGGGCCAGAACCGGGCACAGCTGGGACAATATCGGGGAGCTCAGCCGAGACCGGCGACGACGGCAGTGGCTCGTCGCTCCCGTTGAGCACGTCCTCGCCCGAGAGCAAGGTCTCAAAGGCGAAAGCCTTCATAAAAGGCGCGTCCGCCGGTGGCTCGGGAAGCAGCTCTTCGTCCGAGTTGGCCTTGCTTCCATGTTCTCCCGGCAGCATCGGCAGCAACGGCGAGGACGGTGTGCCAGGCGGAGATCGGAGCGAGCCGGTCGACTGGCGCTTGACCAGCGAGCCGCCACCATCGGATGCGCTCGGCGACGTCGGGGTCTGCGGCTGGTTGGGATGCGACAAGTCGCTGGCCGAGCTCCGAGCCTTGGCCAGGGCCAGGGTGGCCACGTTCGCCTGAACAGAGATCGACCGCGAGGTGGTCGACGATGAGCGGGTCTTTGACGAGCTTGGCGGGAGCGGCGGGAGCGCCCGCTTCTTGGCCCCAGTCACCGACGCCGACCGCCCATTGCGGGTTGCCAGGTGCGGCGGGCGCTTGGCAGGGTCCATGGCGGGGTGCAAAGTGGTGTGGAGAGGAGCGGTGTGTGGAGAAGGGTGGGGGGGTGGGGTGGGGGTGGGAGGGCTGCCTGTCGTCCTCGTTTTCCAGGTGCGGGTGTAGCGGGGGATAATCATTGGTCTTGATGGATTTATCGTAGTGTGGGTGGTGTGGCGGGGGATAATCATTGGTCTTGATGGATTTATCGTAGTGTGGGTGGTGTGGCGGGGGATAATCATTGGTCTTGATGGATTTATCGTAGTGTGGGTGGTTTGCCTGGTGTCCTGCCTTTGTTCGAAAGCGATCGATGGTTTGGCAATGGCAGCCGTGGGACCGTGTGGCGGACGACTTGAATTTGGAACGATACCCTTGACTCTTCATTTCATCATGTACGTCAGAACAAGGTAAGTTGGGGGGGATAATCATTGGTCTTGATGGATTTTATCGTAGTGTGGGGTGGTGTGGTGGGGGATAATCATTGGTCTTGATGGGATTTATCGTAGTGTGGGGTGGTGTGGTGGGGGATAATCATTGGTCTTGATGGATTTATCGTAGCGTGGGTGGTGTGGTGGGGGATAATCATTGGACTTGATGGATTTATCGTAGTGTGGGTGGTGTGGTGGGGGATAATCATTGGTCTTGATGGATTTATCGTAGTGTGGGTGGTGTGGCGGGGGATAATCATTGGTCTTGATGGATTTATCGTAGTGTGGGTGGTGTGGTGGGGGATAATCATTGGTCTTGATGGATTTATCGTAGCGTGGGTGGTGTGGTGGGGGATAATCATTGGTCTTGATGGATTTATCGTAGTGTGGGTGGTGTGGCGGGGGATAATCATTGGTCTTGATGGATTTATCGTAGTGTGGGTGGTGTGGTGGGGGATAATCATTGGTCTTGATGGATTTATCGTAGTGTGGGTGGTGTGGCGGGGGATAATCATTGGACTTGATGGATTTATCGTAGTGTGGGTGGTGTGGCGGGGGATAATCATTGGTCTTGATGGATTTATCGTAGTGTGGGTGGTTTGGCTGGTGTCCTGCCTTTGTTCGAAAGCGATCGATGGTTTGGCAATGGCAGCCGTGGGACCGTGTGGCGGACGACTTGAATTTGGAACGATACCCTTGACTCTTCATTTCATCATGTACGTAGCAGAGGTGAGAGCACCACCACAGTAGCCATAGTATCCACGAGCACACGCGGTACTACCTCCCGTGATACCCGTACTCTACATATGTCCTTCTCCCCATCTTCCGCTCAGACCGCCGCCATATCCCGCCCGCAATGGCTGTCCCTCCCGCTGCTGCCGAGTGTGGGGGGGATGAGATGCGACTGTCACATTTTTGTATGACTCCTCCGGTCCCGCCGCCATTGTCGGCCCCTACCACCCGCATACACCATCCTTTCCAACCACCATCGCCACTATGGCCAGTATACGTGTCCTCGACTCTCCATGCAACTGGCCATGTCCGTGCACTCTCGCTGGTCCCCTGGAGAGCCACGGATGTGTGCCGGGCGGTGCCCGCATTTTCCCCCTCCACCTTGCCCGCCCCCCGACCGACCAGCCAGCACTCGGCAGCAGACCTGTAGGGAGGCAGCAGCAGCAGTAGCAGCAGTAGCAGCAGGGTGGTACAAGGCGTATCTCACGAGAGAGCGGGTGTGTTATGTGTGACGGGCTGTGCAAGGATAGGCAGATTTTCGTCAAGACCCTCACCGGCAAGACCATCACCCTTGAGGTCGAGTCGTCGGACACCATCGAGAACGTCAAGACCAAGATCCAGGACAAGGAGGGCATCCCCCCTGACCAGCAGCGCCTCATCTTCGCTGGCAAGCAGCTCGAGGACGGCCGCACCCTCTCGGACTACAACATCCAGAAGGAGTCGACCCTCCACCTCGTCCTCCGCCTCCGTGGTGGTGTTATCGAGCCGACCCTCCAGGCCCTCGCCCGCAAGTACAACTGCGACAAGATGATCTGCCGCAAGTGCTACGCGCGCCTCCCGCCCCGCGCCACCAACTGCCGCAAGAAGTTCTGCGGCCGCACCTCGCAGCTCCGCAAGAAGAAGCAGCTCCGTTAAGAGCAGGTAAAATCCCATGGATCTGTGGCGCCATTGTACGCGGCACCGCATACGCTCTGCTTGCTTCATAGATAGATACAAGCGGCAAAAAGACTGGGTGTTACTTGGCCCTCCATCTGGTGCGCCGAGCGGGGCGGGGCGGGTTACCCGTCAATGGTAGCGGCCACGATCTGGAGAACGTCCTCGTCGGCAAGGACGTGCTTGAGGCCGACGCGCTGCGGATTGGGGTTAAACTTGGACGAGCGGCCCCAGACGGTGGCGTACTTAAAAGTGTTGACCATGTCGTTGTGGATGGAGCGGCAGACGGACTCGACGTCTGTGCCGTCACGGAGGATGAACGGCTCGTCAAAGTCGGGCATGGCCGAGCGCTTCTTGGTGTAGACGCGGGTGAGGTCGAGGTAGTCCCAGATGGACTCGATGAGCCAGTCGAGGTTGATGTCCCACGCGCATGAGATGACGATGGTGTCGGGCTGGTTTGCCAGCCGCTCGACCTCCTCCATCCACACCGTGTCCATCTTGTTGTACACGTAGAGGCAGCGGATGTACCGGCGGTTGCCCTGGATGACGTCGATGAACTGCTGCATGGTGGCATCCTCGCGGAAGAGGACTTCAGCGTGGTGGATTTTGTACGTCGAGAGAATTGACTTGACCACGTTCTCGTCGATCTTGGTCAGCGGGACCGTCGAGTTGAACTGGATGCCGCCGCCCTTCTTGACCTTGAACGTGATGTCCGGCGGCTGCTCGTTGAGGCGAATGCCGACCGACTCGAGTTCGGCCTCGAGCAGCTTGCGCTGGATCTCGCCCTTGGACGCGTCCATCATCATCAGAATGAGGTCCGACGTCCGCGCCACGCCGATGACCTGGCGGCCGCGGCCCTTGCCCTTGGCGGCGCCCTCGATGATGCCCGGTAGATCCAGGAGCTGGATGTTGGCGCCCATGTACTCGATGACGCCTGGAATGCACGTGAGGGTCGTGAACTCGTATGCGCCCGACGTCGACTCGGTATCGGTCACCTTTGACAGCAACGTCGACTTGCCGACCGAGGGAAAGCCGACCATGGAGACGCGGGCATCGCCGGCCTTGGCCACGTCAAAGCCCTCGCCCTTGCCAGAGCTCTTCGGACCCTCCATCATCTCTGCACGCGCCTTGGCCAGCTTGGCCCGCAGAGAGCCCAAGTGCTTCTCCGTCGCCTTGTTCTTCTGCGTCCGCGCAATCTCCGCCTCGAGGTCCTTAATCTTGTCCAGCAAGCCCATGGTGTCCGTCTGCTCGCCAAGGGGAAGACTGTGGGTGGGGTGGGTGGGGTATGGGTAGGGGTAGGGGTAGAGATGGGGTGGGGTGGGGGTGGGGTGGTAGAGAGTGACGTGGGGAGAGCAACAA